GTTAAAGCAGACTTGAATAGTCCTACTTGCTGGACATCTTCTCTCAGGCCCTGCCCGCCAGGAGTTCTTGGTGTTTTCCTTTTGGTCTGTCAATGCACATCTGATTGACTGTTCAGAGCTATGCGTTTGCATGGTTTTTAGAGAGGAATGGTCATAGCTGTACCTCAGAAGAAAAGGCCCCTTTCTGAATCTGGAAGCTGAGCAATCCCTTGTCCCTGAGGAACGGGGAAGGAGTAGATCCCGGGAGTCTCTGCCGGTGTGACCGGTGTCCACTTCTGTGATAGGATGTCACTGAGGATGTTGCTAGTCCAGGTCAGCAAGCTTTGATCTTACCTTTCTGGCATTGCCAGAACACCACCTAATGTCCCCCTGGCTGAATAATTTTCCTCATTGATTAAGAGGAAATTCTTCCTCAGGCCAGGTAATCTAAATTCTGGAAATTGATACAAATGGGATGGAGTAACTTTTGTATTTTAATTTTTGGGTTCTCATCAGGAAGAGCCTACAACCTTTCTCCAGGGCATGGAGTTTCTGCAAAAGACATGCCAGCCTGTTCAAGAAGATCCTGCTGGGCCTGTTGTGTTTGGGTGAGGTGTTAAGAATTCCCAGCAGTGAGGGACACGATCATTCTAGGAATATGACCTTGTGTCAAGTCAAGTACTATATGGAAAGCAACTTTATTCACAAACTGATCTAAAGGGCTATTTGATGTATAGATCTTAATTACTTACAGGTGAACCATAATTTATTGAGTTGCACGTCCAGGAATAAGGGAAATCTGAGAATAAACTATTTTTCAAAACTGTTGATAGACTTATACTTGAGAGAAACTGGGCTTATCTCTATTTCAGTGTTTTGATTTGATTTGATTCAGGGCATGGTTCTCACAGTCTGTACAAGAGAAGACTGTAGTATACATTACTTATTTGCTGGTTTACTAGGAAGATCAATGACATAAAATATTCTTAAAAAACAGCAAACTTTTATTTAAAATATACTGTCAGTGATATATGGGACTTTGATGTCAATATTAGAGACAGCTGGGATGATGAGAACAAAAATTATCTCAGGGAGCCATGAGGTGAGGACCCTATGGCTGTGGACAGTCCTCACTTAACATCGTCGACAGGTTCTGCAACTTTAAGTGAAACGACATATAATAAACCAATTTTACCATAGGCTAATTGATATAAACAAGAGTTAAGTTCTTATGGCATCTCATTAACGTTACATAAAATGACACCTGGCTAAGCTGTCCTGTCTCAGCATGATGGCCAACTGGTACCTTCTTGATGGGCTCACCAGCTTTGGAACTTTAAGAGTTTGGAAATTAGAGCCTTTTGCAACTATGGCCACAGTGCGCTAAGGATACTGAAGAATGGCAGAGACAGGCGAGCCTGGGGTCTAGGTAAGATGCAGCACAGAATGATGATGGATAGCTCAGACTCCAAAGCGAGACTACCTGAGTTTACATTCTGTCTTTGTTCCTTATAGCTTCAATGACTTTAGAGAAGTTACTTAACTTCTGTTTTCCAGTTTCCACATCTGTAAAATGGGAATGATAATAGCAACTACCTCAAGAATTCTCAGGAGTCAATGAGTTACTTTTTGTAAAGTTCTTAGAAAGAGTCCAGCACATAGAAGGCACTACGTAAATGTTTGTTAAAGCAGACTTGAATAGTCCTACTTGCTGGACATCTTCTCTCAGGCCCTGCCCGCCAGGAGTTCTTGGTGTTTTCCTTTTGGTCTGTCAATGCACATCTGATTGACTGTTCAGAGCTATGCGTTTGCATGGTTTTTAGAGAGGAATGGTCATAGCTGTACCTCAGAAGAAAAGGCCCCTTTCTGAATCTGGAAGCTGAGCAATCCCTTGTCCCTGAGGAACGGGGAAGGAGTAGATCCCGGGAGTCTCTGCCGGTGTGACCGGTGTCCACTTCTGTGATAGGATGTCACTGAGGATGTTGCTAGTCCAGGTCAGCAAGCTTTGATCTTACCTTTCTGGCATTGCCAGAACACCACCTAATGTCCCCCTGGCTGAATAATTTTCCTCATTGATTAAGAGGAAATTCTTCCTCAGGCCAGGTAATCTAAATTCTGGAAATTGATACAAATGGGATGGAGTAACTTTTGTATTTTAATTTTTGGGTTCTCATCAGGAAGAGCCTACAACCTTTCTCCAGGGCATGGAGTTTCTGCAAAAGACATGCCAGCCTGTTCAAGAAGATCCTGCTGGGCCTGTTGTGTTTGGGTGAGGTGTTAAGAATTCCCAGCAGTGAGGGACACGATCATTCTAGGAATATGACCTTGTGTCAAGTCAAGTACTATATGGAAAGCAACTTTATTCACAAACTGATCTAAAGGGCTATTTGATGTATAGATCTTAATTACTTACAGTGAACCATAATTTATTGAGTTGCACGTCCAGGAATAAGGGAAATCTGAGAATAAACTATTTTTCAAAACTGTTGATAGACTTATACTTGAGAGAAACTGGGCTTATCTCTATTTCAGTGTTTTGATTTGATTTGATTCAGGGCATGGTTCTCACAGTCTGTACAAGAGAAGACTGTAGTATACATTACTTATTTGCTGGTTTACTAGGAAGATCAATGACATAAAATATTCTTAAAAAACAGCAAACTTTTATTTAAAATATACTGTCAGTGATATATGGGACTTTTGTGTCAATATTAGAGACAGCTGGGATGATGAGAACAAAAATTATCTCAGGGAGCCATGAGGTGAGGACCCTATGGCTGTGGACAGTCCTCACTTAACATCGTCGACAGGTTCTGCAACTTTAAGTGAAACGACATATAATAAACCAATTTTACCATAGGCTAATTGATATAAACAAGAGTTAAGTTCTTATGGCATCTCATCAACGTTACAGTAAAATGACATTGTTCTTCCTACTGCTGTACTTCCTAGTAGTAGCCTTGTTTATGTGGTTTTGCTCAAGAGGAAAGGCTAAAATGACTGGGGTTGTAAAGTTTAAGATGACTTTTGAAGAGTGTGATGGAGGGTGCTGATAAAATCTACTCTAAGGGACAGAAGATCAGAAAAAATAGAAGGGAGTGAGATTTCATTAAAGACAAGTGAAAATCTTAAGTATTCAAACTATCCTTGGGAATCCTCAAGAAGAAAACAGCCATCTATCCCGGCCTTGAGAACTGCAGCTCAGTCTGACAACTGGAGCTGGGTGACAAGGTCGCTGGAGGGTTTTTCTTGATTTAAATCTCAGACATTCGTTGCTAGAGCTTCATTTGCTCTTGGAGAGCTCTGACTTACTGATTCTTACTTACTCTGTACCTTCTCCCTTTAGCTTATGCTGCCTACTTCCTGGCAGCTTGCATCTTGGATTTCCAGAGAGCACTGGCTTTGTTCATCCTCACTTGTTTGGTGCTCTTGGTCCTGGTTCACCGCTTTCTGAAAAGGTTCTTTGGTAAAAATTTAACAAGATGTCTGAAGCCCTTTAAAAACTCCTGCCTGAAGCTTTGGATGAAATGGTGAGTAAGATAAAAATCTTAGTATCTCTGGTCCCAAAACTTATCCCAAACCCCGATCCACTTCCCCTTTTCTCCTTTGACAGTTCCTGAGCTGTCTCTTAGACTCTCACTTATACTTTTCAAAACCAAGGCTCAGAGAGTAAATAGCCAATGGGCCTCTGAGCACTGGACTTCAGTCCAGTTTCTTGTAGCCTCGTATCTCAACATTGCCGGGGGCAAGAAGTGTTAAGTTCCAGAGAAGAGTTTCATTCCATTTATTGTCAGGGTTCATGATGGAAATAAGAAAAAAAAAATACTCCTCTTCAATGAAGCAATCAAAACAATGAGGCTTGCAGCTGCATTAAGCTATTAAATTGATTTGCTGGTCATATGTGTTCCCTGAAACTTTTTATACTTTTTTTTCCTTTAGTCCTCCAAACTTCCTGCACCCACTAGTGTCTTTTACAATTCCTTAGAGTTTAATGAATAAACTCACTGTTCAGTGTATACTGAACTGGATTCAACAGCCACAGCTCATCTAACTAACTATGGTATGCACATGTCCTTTGATCACAGGCTTGGGGTGACAGAATAACTTTCAGACTCTCAATAAAGTTCCTCTTTTCTGCCTATTTTCCAATGAATGCACAGAAAATAGCTGTGAAGAATGTTTGCAACAGCGATAATTTGGAGAAACACATCAGACTACAACCTGAATTTTGGAGCATTGATTTATTTGACACTGAAGAGACAGAGCTGAAAGGATTCTATTCATTAGCAGGACAGATTCTGGAAGGCGCATTTTAGTTACTTTAAGTGAGATGAGTTCACAGTGAGAACGGCTCCAAAATTCAGCCCTGATTTATATGCTTTTTGTTGTCATTGAAGGGAATTCATGTATCAAAAGAAAACAAAAAGAACAATTTGTTCACTGAGATGCTTCAGTGAACAAATTGTTCTTTTTGTTTTCTTTTGATACATGAATTCCCTTCTAATTCTTTCCCTTGAACTGAAATGATTCCAACACTCAGACATGAGGAAACCAGTCTGTGTATTGATCAAGCACATCCAGTACATCAAAGGACCATAAGACCCTAAGTAGTTGATTTGTGGCTTAGCTTTTACCCTTGCCATCGGAGTGGTTAGAAATTATATGGAGATCCATGAAGTACCGTGCATACTTTTCTTCCTTTTTTAAATATTTTGATTATTCATCAGAACAACCACATCTTACTGATGTGGAAGCTTGAGGAAAGGAAGTCATGTGATTTGTGTCCTCAGATTGGACTCTTTCAACTTCATTCTGTGAGTAAAAGAATTGGGAGAAATGTAGCTAGGGAACTACCAGATGAATGATTCTCAAGATAAGTCTCTGTGATTAATCCATTGAGTTATTTCACTTTTCCTTGGGATGAACTTCTATTTTTTTAGAGGTAAGGTTAATTATTTGTTCTTCATTCACTGAGTTGATGACGTGGTCTTGGCATTTCCTCTTCAGGGTGCTTGCAGGAGTCTCTTTGGTTGGCCTTATCCTATGGCTAGCTCTAGACACAGCCCAGAGGCCAGAGCAGTTGATCTCCTTTGCAGGAATCTGCATGTTCATCCTCATCCTCTTTGCCTGCTCCAAACACCACAGTGCAGTAAGTCTGGGGTATGCAGGGTGGGCCAAGGGCCATGTGTTGCTAATTTAAAAGTGCATGTGTCTAGTATTGATTACAAAGGCATAGAACTAAGTTCTTAACAATCTCTGGAATTTGCCTCTTTGATAATTTTGCTCCTAAGAGAAGTTTTAAAGTTCTCAGATGTCCTAGACCACTTATTTTCAAACCGTAGGTTGTGATCCAGTAGTGAGCCTTGATAACAATTTTGTGAATCTAGGTCAGTGTTAAAGAAAGAACAAAAGAAAAAAAAGAAAATAGAATACAATAGAGAATCAGCTTACATTGCACATAGTAATATTAAAGTATTGGTTTATGATGCTATTATTTGTGTGTGTGTGTGCGTGCGTGCGTGCGTGTGTGTGTGTGTGTGTGTATGCATGCATGTCATCTAACTTGTAGACAGTTTTAAAAACTGTATGGACATACATGGCTCTTTACAAGTTACTGTACTGTCCTGTTTCCCTCTGCTCTCTTCTCTTTTTTACCCGAGATTTACTGTTAATATCCTAGGTTGGTTCTACCCACAGTACATGTTTTAAACTCCAATCAGGTAATGAACAAGTAGGGTTTAGAACTCACATTTAAATAATGTTCTTATTGGTTCCAGGTGTCCTGGAGGACAGTGCTTTGGGGTCTGGGTCTTCAGTTTGTCTTTGGGATCTTGGTCATCAGAACTGATCCTGGATATAATGCATTTCAATGGCTGGGAGACCAGATTCAGGTATGAGAAATTGAATGTGAGGGCTCTGCTTTTTTTAGAACCCTAGAGAAAAGAGATATAGGGAAAGCATATGGAGATTGGTCTGTATCTTATTAATAATTGTGGTAGGAGATCTGGTGAGAAAGGAAAGAGTATACTGGGGTTAAACTAATCATATGAATAAAGAGAACTGAAATGCTGTGTCCCCTGTCATTCAATGAGCAGCTCATGGGGATATAGCCTGTTCCCATGCTGCCAAAGGAAGGCCAGCCTCAGTAGCAGCAGTAGGACCTAATCATGCATGAGGCTGATCCTTTGTGTCCTCTCTGGTTTCATTCTTGTTCACTCTCTTTTCTTTCAGATTTTCCTGAACTACACTGTGGCTGGCTCCAGTTTTGTCTTTGGGGATATGCTGATCAAGAATGTCTTTGCTTTTCAGGTCATATCTGTTTTGTAGGCAGGAATGAGGGTCAGTGTCTGTGTGAGGTGTGGGGAGGGATGTAAAGTAGAGGATGAAAATGTGTGTCCAAGAGATCAGCCAGTCTAGATACCAATTCGACCCTAAGAAGAAGATTTGACCCCATCAGTAGAGAAAACAGCATCGATCTCTCGCCCTTTGATCGTTATCATACTGAAACTGGAATAAAATAGGAGTAGGGGAGGAAGGTTCAGAAAACATCTCCTTGTGGCTTAGTACTGATAGGATAACAGATTTGTAATACACTTAAAATTTATTCCTAAACTAGCTTGTGTTTAAATATTCATTGAGTATCTATACTGTATCAGCTGCTCTTGGAAGGCTGAGAGCTTTATTTAGAGGTCTGAAACACAGTCCATTTATAGCATACATGAGCACATTTAATGTACAGTAGTCCCCCCTGACCTGCAGGGGATGTGTTCCAAGGCCCCCAGAGGATGCCTGAAACCTCAGATAGTACTCAACCCTATACATACTATGTTTTTTCCTATACAAACATATCTGTGATAAAGTTTAATTTATAAATTAGGCAATTTCACAGATAGAAAATTCGTTCTTACCACAGATCTTACCAAACTCAGCATATATATATATATATATTTTTTGCTTTTCTTATTGAGGACTTTCACCTTTTCACTTAAAGGAAGCACTTTACAGCTTCTCTGGCATATTCGAATTGCCGGTATCACTACTCTTACGCTTTGGGGCCATTAAGTAAAATGAAGGTTACTTGAACACAAGCACTGAGATAATGTGACAATCAATCTGATTTGGTAAACTAGATGGCTACGAAGTGACTTATGGGAGGGTGGGTAGTGTTTACAACATGTACACACTAGACAAAAGGATGATTCATGTCCCGGGTGGGACAGAGCAGGACAGCACAAGATTCCATCACAATGCTCAGAATGGTACACAATTGAAAACTTATGAATTGTTTACTTTTGAAATTTCCATTTAATATTTTTGGACTAAGTTGACCATGGGTAATTGAAACTGTAGAAAGTAAAACCGTGGATAAAGGAGGATTATTGTAATATCTCACTAGTCGCCCATCATTTTCATTACAGTCCTTACCAATCATCCTTTTTTTTGGATGTGTGATGTCCATTCTCTACTACCTGGGCATTGTGCAGTGGGTAGTTCAGAAGGTGAGTCATTCTTCTACACCAGTCAGAAGGTGGGCTCTCATCTTTTGATCTGTCAAGAAGCAGGAAAATGACACTTTGAAAAGATGCTCACATGTGGGACCTAGAACCCATGTAAAAAGGCAAACCCTATTCAAGTATGCCTGATATCAGATGATCAGGCCCAGGCCCAGGTTGAGGGGCAGAGCAGGAATTGAGAATGGGCTGGACTGCCATTGAGACTGAGTTTTAATCTACTAGTTCTGGAATCCAAGAGTCCTGAGTTCTGGTCCAGACTCTGTAACTTGCTTTGTGGTCTTGGGTTTGTCACTATACTTCTCTAGGCCTTGGTTTCATTACCAGTAAAATGAAGAAGCATGTGTGTGGGGGT